ATACCCTAACCTGTACCCTAAACTGTACCTGTTCTGTAACCCTAACCCTAACACTCACCCTTACCCTAACAGTCACCCTAATCCATACCCTAATCCTAACCCATACACTAACAATAATCCATACTCTAAGCTGTACAGTAACACTAACCCGTACCACAACATGTACCCTAACCTGTTGTCATACACTAACCTGTACCCTAAACCGTACCAGTTCCCTAACCCTAACAATAACCCTTACCCTTACCCGAACCGTATCCTAATCCGAAGCTGTACACTAACGCTAATAATCCGTACCCAATCCCTAACCCTAACCCTTATCCTAATCCTTACCCTAAGTCTTACCCTAACCTGTACACTATTCCTAACCTGAACACCAAAACTAACCCATACCATAACCCGTTATCATACCCTAACCTGTACCCTAAACCGTACCCGTTCCCTAACCCTAATCCAAACCCTTACCTTAACTTGTACGCTAATCCTAAACCATACACTACCACATACCCTAACATGTACCCAAAACCTAATCCTTTGCCATACCCTAACCTGTACCCTAAGCCGTACTCGTTTTCTAAGCCTAATCCTAACCCTTAATCTAAACATAACCCTTACCCTAACCCATATCCTAATCCGTAAACTAAAAACCCGTACCCTAATCTGTACCTTAAACCGTACCCGTTCCCTATCCCTAACCGTTACCCTAACTCGTACCCTAATCCTAATCTATACGCTAACACTAACCCGTACCCTAAAGTGTATCCTAATCCGTTGTTGTACCCTAAACTGTAACCTAAACAGTACCCGATTCCTCACCCTAACCCTTACCCTAACCGTACACTAACACGTAACCTAACCTTAACCTGCTGTCATACCCTAACCTGTACCCTAAACCGTACCCGTACCCTAACACTAACCCTTACCCTAATCTGTACACTAACACTAACCTGTACCCTAACAATACCCTAACCCTAACCCGTTGTCATACCCTAACCCTAACCTTATCCTAACCTGTACCCTAATCCTAACCCATACACAAACACTAACCTGTACCCTAACATGTAC